TAAAATGGAAACTCGTCGAAGACACTGGTTGACGGTAAGGCTGTACCATGAATTGACAGACGGTAGAATTTATGGGTCGTTAACTTCTGATCCAAGTGGCTGAAGGGTCAATCATCTGACCTCATAACGTGAAGGTTCTAGGCTCGATCCCTGGTAGGGCCCTGTGTGTACGCACTATTGAGGAGTCCCAGAATAGGATGAAACAACTGCCCAGTGTTCCCCAGTTTTCAAAGGTTAACTAACTGTATTTACCTGCTAACAACTTCCAGTGTTCCCAATGGTGGTAAGGCAGTGAAAAATACATTGACTGAAGTTACTAGGATATTTGTTACAACCCCACTCCTTACCATCTAAACAAAATCATTATCCATATAATCCACAGAAATCGAAGTCACTGACTGCTTATTTAACTCATCTAAAGAACTGTTGATTATCTGAATCATGTCTGTATGAAAACTGACAGAAGTTGCTTGTTGTGCAATGAGATTTTGATTAAACTAGGGTACACTAGTACTTCTTCTCGTTTATAATTGTGTCCTAACGTTGTGCTTACTCGACACACACAACGTAAATCAGAAGACACCTGAGAAGGTGTAGGAATGTGTATTCTCGCCGTAATCAAAATTCAAAACTTGAGCGAGTACAAATGCGTCAATTGTTAACACGCAAGATTTAGAGTAATAAACAAATCAAAGTACAATTACACAATGAAAGTATAGTACGATGATGAGTAATAAAATGGGTCACTACAGGCTTATACTATAGTTAGTGTGACTGAGAACTGGTTACATATGTCCCAGGATTATTTATCGTCAGTCCTCTTATTTTGTTCTCCTTACTGTAAGCCATCATGACTACTATTATTATTATCATTATTATTATTATAGATTTGCACACCTTTCCCTCTCTAAACTATTCATTTTGAGGACGATAATGACGCAAATAAAGCCCCATACTTACTTAGTAGGATCAAACAAATTCTGTATTACCATTTCATTTGGTGATTTGGTTTTGAACCAGACACCTGTCGTTTTGAATATCGATATATCATCTTCTTGACGAATGATAGGTATCTAATTTAGGAAGTTTTTTTGACATTGTCATATGTCGTTTAAAGTGGAGTACCTATGAGAAAAAAAGCAGATGTTCAATGTATTCGATTTCTCAACGGTATTCTAGACATACGCTTGACGTGAATGAGTGAAAACAGTTGGCCTCAGGCAATGGTGTTCGTTAGACAAATAGAGGTAGTCTAAATATACAGAATGGTTGTTATGCTGATTTGGTAGACAGAGATTCAGCTCAAACAGTCAGGTTTCATTGAATATATGCATAAATATACATGGATCTTTGTCAGCTCATATTTGTGTACTGAATTTTCCAGCTAATTCGTTTTTGGACAATGCTTCGATGGACTAGTCTCACCTATTACAAATTGTTCTCAACAACTTGGAGATGACCTGAACAATTATTCATTACTATGTCATTGGTGGTGTCAAAAGGGACTAATTGCATATTTTGATACCTGATCAAACGTAACTGTTGACCAAAAATTAAATTACACACTTTCGCCTGTATATATTTTTTATTTACTCAGTTATTATCTCACATTCAATTTATACAGGATGATAAAACTACCTAATTTATGGGAAAAAAAGTAGCTAAAGCATAATTTGAACTTGTACTTATTGAATGTGATATTTGTTAGACACCTGAAGCGTTATATGTACACTTAGGTTGACTTAAATGGGATTAGTTGGAGGGTTTCATCATGAGCTGATATCGGTTAGAGAACCATTGAAAAACCACCTGGGAGCACTGGACAGCCAGCTGTTTCATCAGTCTAGTTTGGGATTCTGCTTCAGCAGTACGTGCCCACCCACATTGGGGTTCGAACTCAGGACCTTCTGGTTACAAGACTAGCAAGCTCGTAAACCACTAAGCCACTGGGACCCGATGAATTCTAACTCCTGCCAATTCATGACATAGCGTGACCGCTTAGCAATGTCTTCCTCAATGAAATACTGCCTCACCTTCAACCTGCTGTACCCTACTGGTCATGGCTTCCCACTAGAACCCCAGGTAACTGTCTGAATAGGGCCAGTCGCTAGTGGACATCAGATCAATTTCCAAATATTGGTTTTCCTAGGGATTTTTTGTTTGATCGGATGGAGGATTTCACCATGAGTTGACACCCAGTGGGTGCGTACTGATGATGGGTCCCAAACTAAGACGAAACAGCAGTCCGGTACTCGCAGTTGGTTCTCCAGTGGTTCTCTAACTGATGTCAGCTCATGATGAAATCCCCCAACCAGTCAAACAAAATCCCTACAAAAACCAATACTTTTAAATACGATTAATCTGTTTTAAATTCACAGTAGACAAAAAGGTATCTAAATCATGTTAGGATATTTATTTTACTTTTAACTACCAAATATTGCAGTGAATACAAACTCTGGAATGGTATTTTGGAGACTATAGGTTTAAATGCTGTCGTGAACTAAATTTTTATTTCACCTCCAACAGTCGATCATCACATCAAATGTCAGTCTTCACGAGTTGGTCTGTAGGCATTTGATTTGTTTTTTAAGTTTTACCACGGATTCATATCAGCTAGGCAACCTTTGAAAACCACCAGGGAGTACTGGACAGTCGTTTCTTATGTCCTAGTTTGGGACTCATCATCACTACTCACCCACCAGTGGGATTCGAACCCAGGACCTTCCGCTTACAAGTCAAGCTCATAGACCATTTAGCCACTGGAGTCCGACCCAATGGCCAGTCCATGAATTATAACTTCTACGAAATGATGATTTTAGCGTGACCACCAGCCAGTGTCATCAACAGCGAGTGTTTTTCTTCATTCCAGATAGGATGGATCAAACTGATCACGACTTCTCACTAAGACTCCAGGAAACTCCGTCCTGTAACCAGTCATTAGCGAGCATCAGATTAATTTTGAACAGTTGGTATGTAGGGATTTGATTTGTTTTTCAAGTCTGATCATGAATCGATCGAAACCCAGTGGGTGCGTTGTGTCGATGAGTCCCAGACTAGGAAGAAACAGCTGTCCAGTACTCCCTGAATGATTTTCAATGGTTTTCTAAATGATATCAATCCATGGTCAAACTTAAAAAAAACAAATATCAGTCCGTCAACTTAAAAGTTACCTCAGATAGTCTAACTATTTTTTTATTTTATATTATTTTTTATTTTTATTTTTTTTTATTACAGCTTGATGCCACACCATATTTTCAGTACAAGTATGGAATTTTCAGCATGGATATCGGTAGCCCAAATTTTGCAGGCCCACCATAGATATCGGGTGTGCGTCGGAAGGGGATCGAACCCTGGACCATGTGCATGGTCGGCGAGAGTCCTAACCACTGTGCCACCGACGCACTATCAAAATACAAATTATTAAGTGGAATATTTCAATACTAATTTATGAGTATGTCTGTATTTCATATCATTCATGAATTGTATTTTATCATTCCGCTTGTCTTTCATGATTCCTTTGATTTCCGATTGAAACATATGGCTTCAAGCATTTCTTTTTGAAGTCTATAAGTAGCAGTGTTGTTTTTGCGGCTTGGGGTTGCTCATCCCCTGCTCAACAACCTTCTATCTTTCCCGTGATTACCGTCAGGTAGTAAACTAGACAAGATTCACCAAGTGAGTCTAACGGACATTAAATCTGAACCATCTGAGTGTACGACAACGGCACATGTCAAGTGACCCACAACGGAAAACTCAGCGAAGCGTTTGGAGTAAACACAGGAGTCAGACAAGGATGCTTATTATCACCAATGATAATTCTAATTGTGGTGGACTGGATTATGCGTCAGACAGTAGGAAACGAGAAGACAGGGATATCCTGGACCGACGTGAAGAACCTAGAAGACCTGAATTTCACGCGTGGATGAATTATGTTTGATGTCACACAAAATCGAAGACTTACAAGCGAAAACCGACAAATTGGTCGAAGAAGCAGCAAAGACAGGACTCCAGGGGAACATAGACAAGACGGAGGTTATGAAAATAACCAACCAACCAACCAACATCAACAACAGCAGCAGCAACATCCAGCGCCAATCACCATCAACGAGAGGGATTTGAAAGAGGTTACTTCATTCACTTATCTATGGAGCATTGTCTCAGTTACAGGAGAAACGGACGAGGATGTCAAATCGAGAATCGGGAAGGCGAGAAACACATTCATCAACCTGAAACCAATCTGGAAATCTTCGTCACTCAGCCTGCGTCAACAACAAAATTCAGATCTTCAATACAAACGTCAAGTCAGTCAGTTCTTCTATACGGATGGATCAGAAACTTGGCGGGTCACAAAGAATATTTCCAACAGCCTGTTGCAGACCTTCATCAACAGCTGTCTTCGCTCTATACTGAAGATCAGATGGTCGGGAAGAACAAGAACCAACAAGAAACTATGGGAACAAACAAAACAGGGACCAATTGCTCAACAAATATGCAGGAGAAAGTGGAGATGGATTGGAAACTCACTGAGGAGGCCAATGGGTGACATCGCGCGTGAGGCCAGTGCTCGAGTGGAACCCGAAAGGGAAGCGACGAGTGGGACGTCAGTGCAAGGGTGACATGGAGGAGATCGTGTGATGAGGAACTGAAACAGTATGGACTAACATGGATGCAAGTACAGCAGAAGACAGAAGCAAGTGGAGACGTGTAGTTGAAGCCCTATGTTCCACTAGGAACCCAAGGGAACAATAATAATTATTATTATTATCATTCCTGTTTGTATATAGTTACAAAACACTGGTGTTGACGTCATCATTTTTATTCTTATTCTTTATACCTCTAATAATAATCATGATAATAATAATATTTACATTTGATGATTAAGGAAAACACAGATATTTCCAATCAGGAATGAATGAATGAAATAAAACTCACAAGACAGAAACCAGTTTTGAATAATAATATTAATATTAATAATACTAATAATATAAATAATAATTACACTTTCACACAATAGAATTTTATGGGTTTGTTTTTTATTACACGCAATCACTTTCAACACAAACGTATAATATTATTTGTACAATTTAGTAAAATGGTTGGAGAAATTATTACGCTAGGCATTTATCCAGATGTGTTAAAGATATTGAATTATGTGTGCATAATTATACTGAATGAGGGCATGGGGAGGGGAGGGGAATGACATATGCTCAGTTTATTGTGAGGAGAGAGAGAGAGAGATATGCAGAAAACGATCACTGACTACTTACTACTACTAATAATAATAGTAATGACAGTTGGAAAGTGGGTGAAAACTATTGGTACTTGTGCGGAGGTAATATTTGAAACAGGATTAATGATAAGGCGAGTTTTAAGTTAAGGAATAATGAGAGGAAATTAGGTGTATTCACGATGAATATGTAAAGAATAAAATTTTTTATTGTTCACTTATTCGGGCACCATTTGCAATGATCTTATCAATGAAATAACCAGCATAATATCCATTTCCTTCCTCTATGTCTCTATCTTTTCTTGTGACACTTCAAAAATTCCTACTGCAATTGAAATCAACCTCTTTTTGGAGATTTAAACTCACAATTTATTCACTCGTAAACAAGAGAAATAAACAAATAAAAGTTTGTTTGAAAACAGACTCGGTTTTTGTTTTGTTTTTACTTATTTCTTTCCATGCCATTGACACGTGTAGTATAAATGATATGAAACGGCGGAAAAGATAAAAGTATGCGCCTAGAATGAAGAGATTCTCCTTCACTCAAGAATGGATCATCTATGTACAAAGTTTTCCACATGCGTGTATGTATTTTTGTTGACACGTGTATGTTGTTGCATCCACTTCTGAATGGATCTTAAACAGAAGCCATTAAATTATCAGTAACCAGGCTGGTTTCAGAATTTCTCAGTGAAGTCAATGTATCCGTATTAAAACTATTATGATTACCATTCATTAGACTGAAATTATAATTAGTACCATTGTTGGCTTTATTGCTTTTGTTGTTGTTGTTGTTGTCAAAACGTTGTTCAACAGGAGAGATTTGAATTTCATTCACACTATTTGTTAATTCTAGTGAAGAGGCGGAGGATGACGATAGAGTATTACTAATACAATCTGTAGGCGTATTGAATATCTTAGAATCATATGCTGATGATAGTGACGTTGACAGATTAATCAATGATTGAGGGATTGGATTGATATTCCCGCCTAGTGTTGTATTCATCGTAAATGTTGGCAGTTGAAATGAAGATGGGATAAGCTTAGAAAAATAAGATGAATTTAATATTGAATTTGATAAATTCATTGTTTGATTGAATAGATTATCAGAGAGTTGTTTTAAAAATATAGAATTAAAATCATTTAAATTCGGTAATATCGGTGAATTATGCAATTGAGATAAATTTGTTGGTATTGTTGGTGGCATTGAATGGTGTTGACTGCTTGAATTACTTGTACAATAGTCAAATATATTGAAAAGATCCTGTGTTAACTTTTCTGTATTTACGGATGATGTAGACGAATTCAATACTGAAGATAAAGACGAGATGATGGAGGAAGAGGAGGAGGAAGAGGCTGTTGAAGTTGACGGTGACATTGGCAGCAAATGACTAGGATTTTGAATTCTTGAAATATACTCCAATATAGTGTCAACATTTGGACGGTCAGCATTGATTACTGTTTCAGACAGCTGTTGGGAGTTATCTATTGAAATACAAAGAAAATAGAGAAAGACAAAATATGAAATGCATCATATTTTCTGAGGAAAGTCACGAAATTAATTTTCCCTTGAAAAAAAACACACTTTTAGACAGCGTTTGGTTTTGCGACTTGAATGGTTCGATGACATCACTGTCATAAGGATACTTGGTAAAATTATCTGCGAAAGATCAACTTCCTACTGATTGTCTCTAACCTCCCTAACATCGTTTCAAAGTGCACCTCGATGATAAGTCACCAGGTTGCATGACCATTTAGTACACCTGACTGATAGTATGAAAAATCATTAGACCCATGATATCCGCTGTCAAGGAATGTGAACATTGAGCGTTGGTTCATTGACTTTGGTCACCACTGGCGGGCAACTCGAAGGCGCAAATGGATCGATCGCGTGCAAGTTTGAAGACGGCAGTACTTTATAACTTCATTTGTACTAAACATTTGTTTGTAGACTCGTATTTTATCTTGCTTTAATTGCCAAACAATATAAATTCGTTCAAAGAATACTGGTGTTTTGGAGTTAAAGTCGGGAAAATACATAGTCATTATCGGTTCAAAGCGTCTTCGTCACAATAGGAACTTAGGGCTAAGTTCCTTGACATCCGCATATATATAAAATATTAAGAAACGATTTCATTTTATGATTCTAGCCTTGGAAACTCTGTTTTCACTTCCTGTAACAATCTTCAAACAATTAAAGTGAATTGCCTAGTGACAAGTGGTTGCGAGATTTGAGAAGTACTGTTGATTTTGTGCATGCTTTAGTCAGTACACATATCTGCAGTAAAGTATTCTTAATCATCCTATACAAATTCGAATGCTACAGATATTGTTTTAAGCCCATCTCGCTACTTTGTGGTAAAACAAGATGCAACTAAAACGCTTCATTCTTCAGTAACACTTCGAATGGATATTTCTGAATTAGCTCTTTCCTTAAAATGGTTAACTTATGTCATATGGATACCTGTTATTTCCAAAGAAAACGGAAATACTTGCTACATTCTTAAAATATTTGAAATAAATAGGTCAAAGTTAGTTAAACAACAAGAAAATTTGTATGGAGTCAAACACAATGACACTAATAAACACTAATTTTTTGTTCATTATGTTCTCATTCACTATGGTGGAGTATACTATTATTATTATTCCCTTGGGTTCCGAGTGGAGCTTTGGACTTCGACAATACATCTCCACTTTCTTCTATTTTCTGTCGTCCTTTTCAGCCTACTCCACGATTGCTGACACGAGGTGTAGAAGTTTTCCAAACTGGTTTCAGGTTAATGAAGGCGTATCTGTCCTTTTCGATCCTTACATCTTCATCTGTTCCATCTGTAGTAGAGACGATGCTTCCTAGATAAGTGAAGAAAGGAAGTAACCTCATTCAAATTACACTCGTTGATATCGATTGTTGTTGTTGATTGGTTATCTTCATCACCTCCGTCTTCTCTATTTTCACCTGGATTCCTGTCTACGCTGCCTGCTTCTTCAGCCTGATGGTTTTTGTGGTTTTCGCCTGTAAGTCTTCAAGTTTATGTGATATTAGGCATACATCATCCACACGCGAAATCCAGATCTTCTAGAGTCTTCTCATCGGTGGTACAGCGTATTCTTGTCTCCTCGCTCCCCACCTTCTGAACCATAGTCCAGTTCACCACAGTTGGTGATATTAGAAAGCCTCGTCTTACTGCTCTGTTCACTTCGAACATCTCGCTGTGTTTCCCACTGTGGATCTTCTGACACGTGCCATTATCATATAGCCAGCTGTTGAATGAGGTTAATAGGGATTTGGGCACTGCACGCCAGAGTTTTGAAGCAGTTTCCAAATTACTCCTCGGTCAATGATGTCTGCCAAAGGCCGTTTCGAAGACAATGAAAAAAAGTTGAGGTGGAGGTTTGACTGCTATTCTATGCTTTGTTCAATGACGATGTTTAGATTTGCAATTTGATCAGCATATAGTTTGCCTTTCTTGAATCCAGATTGTTCCGGGTGGAGTTCTGTATCCAGTGCATCTTATATTCTCTCCAGGATGACGTGACTTAGTATTTTACTTCAGAATTAATTTGAAATAATTAACACATGATTTTATCCAGCTGGTATTTTTTTTCTCTGATATTTATAGTCGGGAAAAACTTTCATCAGTATATTGCATATCATTTCTCATATTCATTTTGTTTAAATCTAGTAAAATATGACCTTTAATAGCAATGTTTACTCTGGCGAGTATTTAAAACATTTACAACCACCCACTGATTCGCAAGTTTCTACTAAACTTGAGGAAAAGCATTATCCTCGATGGATGGCAGCTTATCTGAATACATGAGATGACTGTTCCTGACTGGTGTCCTTGGTTCACAAATTGTACTAATGAACTTTCTTATAACTGGCATTCAAGAAAATGTCGTGTACTTCTCGAAGCAGAAAAAGAAAGGATACCAATAATGGATCAGTTTGCGCTTTAGGTCAGACAGAACTGCGTCACATGATCTAATGTCAATCAAACCTTTTATTTGAAGATCCTGGGCGAAGTGAAAATAATAGGCAATAAACTCCGTTGAAAATTCTGTACATTATATAAACATTGTTGAGAATAAAGCTATTATTATCACTGAGCCTATTAAAAGACGTCATTGCTAAGAGGTTTTTCTACATTCCGTAGCGTCAGTGTTAGTAGATCCGTTCCAGATAGTGTTGAGATCCGTTAAAAGGAAACTCTAATAAGTCTTTTGAAGGCTTTATCATTATTATTATTACTATTCTGTGTGTCATTATTGGCGACAAGAAATAAGGCATCTTCTATGATCACAGTTAAACAGAATAGCATGTATATTAATCTGTAATGTATAAATTTATTGTTTTAGTTCCATAAAACCGAAAAGAAGCATACAAAGTCAGTCAACAATTTTCACTATTGTTATCCATAGAATAAACAAAATTGAAACCATCTGTCAAATGTTTATACATTCAATAAAACAAATTCCCACATATACATTTTATTCAATGATTCAATTAGCAAATTGTTGGCGGAAAAAGAAGAGAATATATATATATGCCGACTTTGCAGAAAACAAATGACTGACAGGAAAGAATTTTTGAATTATTTTCCAAGAAAAAATAAACATATAATTAAAACAACTGTAAAATGATAGCCATATGATAGATAATATATTCATTTGTGTTTTTGTTGAAGTAGTCAGTAGAAAGTTAAATTACTTGACTAATTTACGAACTAACCGTGCATGACAGATACCCAACTGATAACAACAATCGCCAGTTACCATCAATAGTAGAAACCTAAATGTAGTTGTCTGTTTTATTTACTTTTTCATCTGCAGCAGGCATGAATGAGATTATCAAAGCCAACCAGTATCGGATCAGGAATGCAAGACATGCGTTCATTATCCTGAAATCAGTGTGAGCAACAAAATCTGAATTTTCAATACTAACGTTAAGTCATCGTATCTATTTAATTTGGAGATTTGGTGCCCAACGGTTAAGAAAAGCATTTCTAACAGGATACTGAAGATAAGTCACCTTCTACAAAAGCAGAAATTAGATGGCGGACTGGTTGAAAAGGATAAGCCAGAAGGAATTCTGAAAGTACAACAAACTAACCTACTACCTACTGCCCATCAATTATGCAGAATAAAATGGAGATGGATCAGGCATGCACTCAAGAGGCCTTCAAGTGATATCACACGCCATACCAGTCTTCGAATAAAACCCGGATGATAAGCAACGATTTGAGTGTCTCAGGGTGAAATGGAGTATTAAATGAAAGCTTGTGGGAAATCCTGGAACCAGGTGAAAATAGACTACAGTGGAGATGATGTAGCTGTTTGTTCCACTTGGAACTCAAGGGACGAATCATCATGTGACTAAAAAGGACCAAATATGTCGGAAATTCAAGTCGAAGGTGTTCAACACTGACTGCTAACTATGGATTGTTGTTGATTTATTCAGAAGTTCGATAGAATAATTATCACTGTCAATATCATCATAAACTAGATATTATATATTTTTGTTCTTTGCCTCCTGAGTGGAACACAGGGTTTCAAAGTTTGAAATTTCAGTAACGGTGGTGTCTTTGTTGCTTTTATTTTATAAGGTGTATGTGTGCTAGCCTCACATCCAACCTTCCTCCAATTTTAAACTTACTAGTGGCTGGTAAAGTACACTAGACTTAAGAGTTCGTCGGTTGGCAACCGAACCTGGGTCACGTGTGTGGCTGGCAAGCATCCTAGCTTTGCACCGCTCTTGACACCAGAGGTGATTCCGCATAGCCTTACGGATTAGACATCTACCTCATTAGAAGACATTATATAGTGTTTATATTTACATTTTATTCATATTTATTAGTGCAGTTCACTAATGAGTATCATGACATCTATGTCAACAGGTTTCTGGCAATTACTGTTTATAAAGAGATGTTCATCTGTATAAAAATATCAAACATCAGGGAGATAGATTTGACGCCAGAGAAAGCAAATGATACAGTGTTGCGGAGACGTGAAAGGAACGCAAAGAAACACAATATGAAGGATAGAAGTAGTACAATACAGAAGATCTGTGCAAATAAACATTCCTTTGACAAATCTTTGTCTTCTAACGTTACAATACCCAATTTTGATTGTTGAACAACATCACTTTAATAAGTCTACAGTAACCAGTTGTTTGAGTTTAAATTAGAGTCAATAGAATATCTTAAGAATGTGAAACACATGAATACCAGAGTTAGTGATCCCAAGTCAGATAACTCCATTCACTCGATATACTCAGTTTAGTTCAGTTCACATTAGACAAGTTAAGAGATTGTGAACGAATGGCCGGCTAAGTAGTAATATTCTGGCCTTTAAAGTTAACTATCTAGGCGGCTGTACTTTCCCCGGGTAATCGGTGAGCACTGTCTAAAGAATAACAACAAACCAGAGAGAAAGGAAAGCCCATTAGGACGAAACAGCTGTCCAGTTATCCCTGTAGGTTTTCC